ACACATCCATCCATCCATCTACACATCCATACGCCCATCCACCCATCCACCCATCCATATCTCCATATCTCCATCCATCCACCCATCCACCCATTCATCACACATCCATCCATCCATCTACACATCCATACGCCCATCCACCCATCCACCCATCCATATCTCCATCCATCCACCCATCCACCCATCCATTCACACATCCATCCATCCATCCATCTACACATCCATACGCCCATCCACCCATCCACCCATCCATATCTCCATCCATCTGCCCATCCACCCATTCATCACACATCCATCCATCCATCTACACATCCATACGCCCATCCACCCATCCATATCTCCATCCATCCACCCATCCACCCATCCATTCACACATCCATCCATCCATCCATCTACACATTCATACGCCCATCCACCCATCCACCCATCCATATCTCCATCCATCTGCCCATCCACGTATCCATATCTCCATCCATCCACCCATCCACCCATTCATCACACATCCATCCATGCACCATCAGCTCCAGAGGACAGGAATCGTGTCGTTCTGCTCACGGCGCTAAGCCCAGGGTCTACCCAGCACATTTGTAAATATCTGCAGGATTACAGGACGAACCCTGACCTGTATTCTACAGCCATTCCCCACAGCAGAGCCTTGGGGAGCCAGCGGGAGACAAGGTGAAGAGCTGTGGCTGCCCCTCGCTTTCTAGTTCTGTCGGGGTGGCCTCCCCTCCACGTCTGCCGGGCATCATGAGTGCGGTATCTGTGCCCAGGGCCCTGCCCCCAAGGTCCCTGAGGGAATGGCTCTCAAGTGGAGCCAGAAAAAATAACATCCCGCCCTGGCTGGTTTGGCTCAGCGGTTAGAGCGTCGGCCCGCGGTCCAGAGAGTCCTGGGTTCGGTTTCCGCTAAGGGCATGTACCTCGGTTGCAGTTTGTCCCCGGCCCTGGTTGGTCGTGCGGGTGGCAGCCACTCAATGTGCCCCTTCACATCGATGTTTCTCTCTCTCTCTCTTCCTCTCTCTCCCTCCCGCTCTACCTGAACAAAAAATGGAAAAATGTCCTCGGGTGAGGATAAAAATAAATAAAATAATAATAATAATAACATCCCCTTAAACCTGCATCCCTGGGTCCCAAGGCAGCAAGAACAGCAGGACCTCCATCCCCTCCAGTCACAAACCACAGCCCCCCGCACAGGAGGGAGACGCGCAGTCAGGTGTCGGAGCCCTGCTAGGCGGAGAGTTAGGTGGCCTCACCCCCCAGGCCTCACAGGCGGTTGTGAACTAGGGGCATAGCTGGGCTCTTCCAAGCATCGTCATTGAAACCAGATGGACACCTGCTTAAGGTTATTTCTGAAAGTCTCTGGTCCAGCCCTCAAGTGATCTTGAAGGAAGAGCCCGGACTGGGAAGCCAGACAGATGCAGCTTCAAGCATGTTTCAAGTCCTATGACCCTGGTGTCACTGCCGTAGCCCCCTGAGCTCCATTTTGCTCATCTGCCGAATGGGCGTACCTGCGGCACCTGATTCGTGGGCCGCCACAGGCACTGGCCCCCAGGGGAGCGGTCTGTGAGTGCTGGCTGCGATGATTATTGCCGAGAACCCTCACAGCCTCCAACCGCTCCTTTCCTGCCCAGACCCCCGCAGAAGCACCTGTTCCCGCCCCGCTGAGACGGGCCAGGACGTGAGCCTGACAGTCACTCCGCACGCCACCCTTCAGGAGGAGAGGCTCATCCAGACGTCATCTTCTCCCCATTCGTCACCCACCAGACAGCTCTCTGTTCTCCGGCTCTTTTAAGCAAATAACAACCGAAGGAAACAAAACCCTTTCTTCCAACATGAAGTGCAGATTTGTTTAATAAAAGCGAGGCATTGAAGCAGTTATCTCCTCTCATCTGGTTTTCCCTCTCATAATTCACCAAGGCCGGCCCTCTCTCCTCCCTCTCTCCCCCCTTCCTTTCTACACGGGGGACAGACAGCAGGCGGGCCGCACACGGGGGACAGACAGCAGGCGGGCCGCACACGGGGGACAGACAGCAGGCGAGGACGGGTCTCTGCCGAGCCAGCCCGAGGCCGCCCGCGCTGGGCTGGCTCCCACCGTCCAGCTTTCCCCGGCTCTTCCTCCCGACTCCGGCTTCCTGGCCTCTTTCTCCCGGCTTCCCACGTGCCCGGTCCTGCGGCGCTGCGGCTGGACGCACAGACGGACAGAGCACAGTGGAAAGTGTGACTTCGGAACCTCAGACCAGGGTGCAAATCCCAGCTCAGCCCTGAGGCGTGAGGACGGCACTGCCCCTCTCTGGGCGTGATGCTAACGGAAAGGTGGGCACAGCAAAGCCGACAGCCCAGCTTCCCGAATGTCACGGCGCTGAGCAGGAAGTGACCTGAGGCCCCTCGGCACTTACAGCCCAGGACTGGTCACAGAAGAGGTTCCTTCAAAATGGAAATTGCAGAGTATGGGGTCCCCAAGAGCACTCTTAGTTTTGATCATTCCCTAGAAGGGACCCAGAACTCACCGAAAGCCGTTTCACTCAGTTACAGTTACAGTTATAGTTACAGTTACAGTTACAGATTAAAATCAGTCAAGCCCTGTCGGTGTGGCTCAGTGGCTGAGCATCGACCCTGCACCAAGAGGTCGCCGGTTCAATTCCCGGTCAGGACACATGCCCAGGTTGTGGGCCCGATCCCCAGTGCGGGGCAGACAGGAAGCGGCCAATCGATGTTCTCTCTTATCAGTGTTTCTATCTCTCTCTCCCTCTCCCTTCCTCTTTCTCTAAAAATCAATAAAAAAAAAAAAATCAGTCGAGGAAAGAGACGTAGGGACAGAGCCCAGGAAAGTGCCAAGGGCGAAGCCTCCGTTCTCTACTCGTCGGGAATCGGGCCAGCACTCACGCCCCTGGGCAATGACTCGGCCCAGCACACGCAAGGCGCTGCCCAGGGACACGCCCCGAGCCTCGGTGTCCAGGGACTTACTGGGACTTGCTCGTGCAGGCGTGGTCGACAGCCTGTGTGGCTGCCCTTCGTCTCCAGCTCTTCTGGGGGTGCAGCTGTCCTCACGTGGCCCCCGGCACCCACCCTGCATCGTCTTGTCAGCACAGACCGTCTGGCGAGGCCCAGGACCCCAGCTAAGCAGATGCTCTATCAGGCGGGACAAAGGCAAGAAGAGCCCAGGGCAAAGCCCGACCTCCCTTGGGCAAGATGTACCCTTCACTGCCCAGGAGTTCGGTTGCAAAACCTCTCCACCTACAAACAGCAACCTGCTTCCCCTTCCCCGTCCCGCCTGGGCTGCTCGCCACCGGGAGATGTCCCCTGCGGAAGAGGGGAGAGGAAGACGGCAGGCAGATGCCCCATCAAAGGGGACATTGGGACCGAGGCAGGCGCGGCCACACCGCGGCACAGGCTGCCCGCCGAGTGAGGGCACCGCTCCGCGCACTGGTGCGGGCAGAGGCCGGGGACCTCTGGCGATGACATGAAGTTGAGGGATGTGTGGCCCTGAGCAAGTGATTTAATATCTTGACCTCCTCAAAGTCCTCGTCACTAAAAGGGGCAGGGCTCTGTCCTCCCCTGGACTCGCCGTGAGGAGTAAACGGAGCGGTGTGCAGGGGTCGTCCACCCTCAACGCGACCCTGGGCAGCTCCGAGCCCCTCCCGACAGCTACATTCTCATCTCCCCAGAGCAGAAGAGACTGGAGAGCGCTCTTCTGCATGACATTTGTGCCTGGGCAGGTGCCTTGACCCCTGGGGCATTAATCAGTTCTTTGACAGACTGATAGGCCGAATCACTCATTCACCCATTTATCTACGATGAGGCCCTGTGCTGGGTGCTGGGGACTCAGAGTGATGAAGTCACACGGAGTCTTTATCTTCAAAGAGTGACCAGGGTGGAAGACAGACCGTGAACTGAGCCCAGAAACAGGGGTGCACTTGCCCAAGCTCACACAGCACGTCCTGGAGGCCCTGCTCGCAAACGAGGTGGGCTCTGAAGTGGACGGTCTGGCTGCGGAGCTGCTGGTCGGGCGCAGTGGACGGGCCCGGGAGGGGCTCTGCTGGCCAGACAGCAGCAAGTGGAGGCCTGCCGAGGGGAGAGGGCGAGGACTTCAAGGACAGGAGAGAGGTCCAGTGTGGCCAGAGGGGAAAGTCCACGAGAGGGTGAGTGGGGAGAGACGAGGCTGGGGGGCTGGCAGGGTCAGAGGGGCAGGGCTCACGGGGCAGGGCTCTCGGGCCAAGGTGAGGGGTGACTTTCTCTTGAGGACAGAGGGGACTCGTGAGGGTTTAGTCCAGGGGTGTCATGCTAGAGCTGTTAGGTGCTCAAGGTTCCAGTTGAGGGAGGAAGGAGGAAGTCTGGTGGGAAGGCTGTGGTGAGCTCCCGCACGGGTCCCCTTCCTCACCCGCTGGCGGGGTGACTGCTAATGAGGGGGTGTGCTGGGCCAGCTCCTCCTGGCTTGTGTGAGCTGATTGTTAAATATTCAGGAATTTTGTGAGCCCGCTGTTAGCTTTGCAATTGGCCGTCGAGGGAGTATTTACACCACAGCAATGGGCAAAAGAGACAGTTCAGGAGTCTCCTCCTGAACCTAGAGAGCGGGTTTCCAGCACACCACCACCTCCTAAGACCGCTGCCCCTTCTCTGGAAAAGTGCCCTTGACCAGGGGACGCTTCCTCCCTGCTACAGGGCGTCCCACAGCCCACGGCGGGCTGACAAGGGGGTTGAGGGCCTTGCCTCACACTGGAGGTAGATTCAATTCTGCGGCAGAATCCACCCCCCCCCCCAGGCTGCCCACCGGATGCGGGAGGCTGGACGCTGAGCAAGGTCACACCCTTGCCCAGCTCCTCGCCTGCCCCAGCTGCCTTCCCAGCATCCATCTCCCGAGAGCCCGCCCTCCACCGGTGAGTCTCCAGCTCAGGCTCTGCTCCCAGGGAGCCAGACGAGGAGCTCACCTCCTGTGGTGTCCCGCTCAGCATGCGGCCAGCTCACTCCAGCCACAAGCGGGGACAGGAGGACAGGAGGACGGGATGAAGAAGAACCGAAGTCAGAGCTCTGCAGACACCGGGCACAAGCTACTCCTCTGTGTTCGAGACCACGACGTGCAGCTGGTGCGCTGCAGAATCTTTAGAACACCTGCTACCTGACTTCACGGTCAGGGGCACCGACCTCTTACCCCTGAGGCTGTCCGAAATGAGAATGACAACAGCCAACACAATAGCCCAGGGTGAATGCCCTGTCTTGAACCATAAATGTAGAGGTCATATAATAGAGTTGCACCCTCTTGGTCACGTTGCATAATAAGGTTGCATCTGATCGGTTAATTCTTGGTACCAGAAATCCTTATATACAAGTATAGGCAGCTGCTTTAAAAAAAAATTTTTTTTTCTTTATTGATTTTAAAGAGAGAGGGAGAAGGAGAGATAGAAACATCGATGAGAGAGAACATCAATTGGCCACCCCCTGCACGCCCCCCACTGGGGATCGGGCCCACAACCTGGGCATGTGTCCTGACCGGGAATCGAACCAGTGACCTCTTAGTGCATGGGTCAATGCTCAACCACTGAGCCACACTGGCCGGACTGATTTTTATTTAAAAAAATATCACTTTGGAACAAAAAGGATAGGTAATTAACATGTTTATATTTTTTTTGTAAATCAATCAAAATTCTACCTGTTTTTTGTCAGATTGACAAAATACATAATTGTGCGTGTGTGTGTGTGCGCGCCGCGGAGTTCCAGGAATTGGTGTGCTCGCCGTGGGGGGAAGACTTGAAATCCACACTCCACGTCTTCACATCGATGACAAGGCTGCCGCAGCCCAGCTCCCGAGCGCTTGGAAACGAAATGCAATCCAGGTTTGAATCACAAGACTTCAGTTGTTGGGCGAGATCACTGGAATGACTGTGTCAGTCCCAAAGAATGCGTCCATTTCCCGCCGCCTCCGGGTGACCCCCAGACCGGGCCTGTGTGCTGTGGCAGGTCACCAGAGAGAGGACAGTCAAGTTTCACAGTTCCTGGCTCCCCACAGCCCCCACAGGCGGGGGGAGGTCCGTCCAGAGGTTTTAACTCCATCTGTTTTAAAGACTCTTGAGAATCACAGGTCCCCAGGGAGCTTAGATCCCCGGGTTCCTGGGAAAACGGCCTCTGTGGGGTCAACTCCGCAGAGTGGCCTGCTGCTGCCTGGAGGTCACAGCGAAGACACCCCCAGACGCCATGTGGGCACGGGCAGGTCCCCACGCCCCCCAAGCCTCCGTTTTCTCTGCAGAAGACTCAGAGCTGGGTGGCACCTCTCACATTCCATTGTTCCCGAGTCACCACGCACCGGGGGCCCCATCTGCCCTGGGCTCTAACCCGTCACTGAATGTCTTTCTGTGACTCACTTCCCGTTTTTAATAAACTGTCACGAATCTGAAAGGACCCTGGTCTCCCCATCACAAACGGAAGCTAGGGTTCCTTGTCATCCATGGAAGGTACCACACAGACACGGTACCTTGAAATGGTTGCTTTTAAATCATCATTTCTGTATTCTTCAGAGTGACTGAGAGTGATTCCTCACCAAGACAACCCACGTCCAGCGGAAGCTGGCGCCTTGGGGGCCCGGGCCTCTGTCTGTTCACAAGGAGATGAGAAATGTCGGGAGGCGCCAGGAGCCTCCTGCTGCTGACGAAGTTCCCCCGGCTCCCCCGGATGGAAAGGGGGTCACGTTGACACTGCATGAGTCAGGTCTCCGATGCCACATCCTCGCTCCACCTAAAGTCACCCGCCCTCCACCAGGGCCCCGCGCTGTGCAAAACACTGGTTTGGATCCTCCCTAAAAATCTCTAATTTTGCAAAATCATTCGGGAGCTCGAGGATGTTTCCAGAGCCTCCTCTGAGCTCACTCTGCACCCCGCTGGGTGGTGACCCCACCCAGGCCACAGGGCCAGGATCTCCAGAGGGGGCCCCGGCTGTGCCTTCGTCACACAGGTCCCCATGATCAGAGCCCGAGAAGCTCGGGTTAGGAAGCAGGACAGGTGCTGGCCAGGAGGCTGACAGAGCAGACCCAGCCTTGAGTGGGTGGCCAGAAAGTGAAGCTTCAAGAGCCTTGTCAGGCCCGGCCGGGGTGGCTCAGTGGGTGAGCGCCGACCCTGCACCAAGAGGTTGCCGGTTCGATTCCCGGTCAGGGCACATGCCCAGGTTGTGGGCCCGATCCCCCGTGGGGGGCAATCGATGTTCTCGCTCATCGATGCTTCTCTCTCTCTCTACCTTCTTCTCTCTCTAAAATCAATAAAGAAAAAGAAAGTTAAAATAAATAAATAAATAAAAATAAAAAGCTTGGTCAGGCTTTCGGTATCAGCTGAAGCACAAGTGAATAAACGATTCTCTTCAGGGGGTGGTAGAGACCGGGGTGTCCTTTCCCCACAGGCCCAGGAAACCCCCTGGTTCTGTCCTCAGGACCCACCAACAAGCATCCCGGAGAGACGTCACAGGCTGCGTTTTATCGACGTCAAGCGGGGAGCATTTGCTGCGTCCCCAGGAAGGGTGAGGCCCGCTCCAGGGTGAGAGGTTGCTGGAAGGTTTGAGGAAGAAATGGCCCCTCCAGCCGAGGAGTGAGCGCCCAGCGCCCGCGAGCAGGCTGGCCGGCGGCCTCGGCGCTGTCCCTGCGCATCCTGCAAACATCCCCCGCTGCAGCTCTGTGCTCGCCGCCGCCAACGTAAACTTGGACCTGGGCCTCCCATTCCTGCTTCCCGGCGGCCTCCCAGCCGCTCTGCTGTGTCTGCTTTACAACCAAGACGGCTCTTCTGGCCGCGCAGCCTGTGAACGCAGGGCGCTTGCAGGCCCGGTGGGCGTTCGTGGGCGGACTGGCGTTTGGGGGGAAGCATCAAGCTGGGGGCCCAGCTACAGGTCCGCTCTTGGAAACGCAGATGAACTTTGCAGCAAAGGTGAGGATGCTCACACACCCTGAGGCTGCTTTCTCTTCTCAGGGGCAAGAGGACCCTGGCCATGTCCCCTCCTCCTCAGGGGACTTGGAGGGTGGAGTGGGATAATGTCTGCAAAGCACCGAGCACAAAAAGTAACGGAAGCTGTTCTGGGCTGAGTCCTGTTTCTCCAGATCCCTGTCCACCTGGAAGCTTGGAATGCGACCTTATCTGCAAACAGGGTCTTGGCAGACGTGGCTGATAACATTGAGGTCACAGGGGAGTAGGGTGGGCCTTCAATCCAGTGACTGGTGCTTAGAAGAGTAGGGGACACAGAGACAGAGGGACAATGCTCCCTGGGATGGGGTGGGGGGCAGGGTGACGTCTCTTCCCTGCTTGTCCCCAAACCCGTGCCAACTGACATCCTCCAGAAAGTGTTTAAATATACAGGTTCCTGAAGCAGAAAGTCCTAGAGGGGAGATGCTGAGAGATCTCTGGGCAATGTCTTCCGTTCTCTGAAGGAGAGGGAGGGAGGGAGGGGGGAGGGAGGGAGAGGGAGGGAAGGAGGGAAGGAGGGGGGAGGGATGGAGGGGGCAGGGAGGGAGGGAGGGAGGGAGGGAGGGAGGGAGGGAGGGAGGGAAAAACAGGCTGTGAAAGAGAAGAGAACCTCTAGGTAAGTCGATTTCTATTTCATTATGCAAGTATCAAAGTCTGCTACAGAAATGTTCACGTAAGAGAATCTGTCGGTCCTCAGCCTTTGGTGAACAAAGACTGTCCCGGGGAGATGGTCGAAATCTGTGGGTGACTCGCTGTCCTCAGGCGATTCGGGGCAGGTGGCCTATGGGGTGCGCTTGAGAAATGTTGCCGGGCAAAGTGAGCCTGTGACCCTCCTTCCGATGAGAGGGATTCGGCAGGGGGAGGACTCTTCCCAGGGAGAGGGACTCTGGCCCAGGGCGCGGCCCCTGGGGAAAGGGCGAGCCTGTGGGAGCCTGTGAGCTCAACATCGCCCCCTTTCTGGATCTCTCCTCTTCCAGGTCAGACACTGTGCTTTGGGACAGGGCCCAGGGTCCAGTCAAAGCCGCTTCAGGCCGCTCCCAGGACTTGCTGGTCTGTTCTGTGGGAGAGGGGGGGCGCTGTGCAAAGCCCAGCCGGTTCGTGTTTAAACCAAACCAGATGTCAGAACCCAGTCAAGAGCGTGTTACAGCCCGGAGCTGCGGACACGTCTCAGGAAGACAACGGCACTGAAAGCATCACGGTGGTTGGTGGGCTGGGGCGGCAGCAAGTGTCCACAACCTTCGCTGTCGTCTCTTAAAACTGGCCAGTTCACGTCGGCCCGACCCGAGTTAGGGGTCTCTGGTGAGACGCTCGCTGCTCCTTCCTGGTCGTACACATGGACATGTGTCCCGGGGCGCGCCCTCCGTGTCCATCCTTCAGGAGCGTGGTGGCCATCGCCACTGTAAATGCACCATGGTCATTCCGTGCGGTTGCTAAACGAGCAGGTCACCTGGGTGGGTCTTTTCAGCTGAGAAACGTCGGAGCGTAGCTACGAGGTCGGGGAGCCCGGGCACACCGTAGGTGCATTCCCGTCAGATGACGGATGACGGGAGAGGCACCTCCTGCTGCGACGCGGGCGAACCGTGAAGCTGTCGTGCTAAGTGACAGGACAAACACTGCATGACTGCACTTACCCGAGGGACCCAGGGGAGTCCGGTCCCCAGACTCAGAGAAGAGAGTGGTGGCCGCCGGGGGCTGGGGTCGGGGGCTGGGGTCGGGGGCTGAGGGTTAGCGGCTTTGAGCTCAGGAGAAGGACAAGGTTCTGCAGGAGACGGTGTGCTGACCACACAGCAGTGTGTGTACGCAACGCCACTGAACCCCACACGTAAAAAGGTAAAACTGACGTCATGCATATTTTTCCGTGATCGGAAAAGAAAGAATTTCTCCAAAGGGCATTTTGGAATCTGTAAGCATGAGTCCTGGGAGTTAGCAGTGGAGATCAATTTACCCAAAGCTTCCGACAGCTGAGAAGTTTCCGCTACCATGTCTGGAACCCCCAATCACTAAAAGTGGGGGTCCCGAGTTTCTCACCCTATCTCAGCTCCCCACCCTCACCATGCCCATTGCCACCCCACTAACGCTGCCCCTCCGGTCGCGGGGACCGCAGCCGGAACAGGGCCTTCAGGGGCCACGGTCCCCGCACCCCGGGCACAGCC